ATGAGCTGTTGCTGTGGCTGAGCTGGGACGCGTCCGCATCGCATGAGTCCAAAGTTCGGAAGTGCGCGCGCTGTTACAATCATGTCATCTCCGCATCCCATAGATACTATTTACTACACACAATAGGCTTTTTTCTCAGATTTTGAAAACTCTTCGTGATCGACTTTAGTGATCTAAAAGTCTCTATTGACGGCTTAGTGATTCCTGTAACGTACTGTTTTACGGTCAATGACATAAATACTAATCATCAGCTGTCTCACGAACGTAACAGCACATCTATCCCCAACATAACAAACCCATAACACAGCGAGGGAGAACTAAGTTACATGAAACAATCCCAACTACATATTTTACACCACTCACAAGGGAAAAGTTACTACTCACGGAGTGTAAGGCTAGCTTCCAGCTTTCCGCTACTTCTCTTTCAGTGATGAAACGCGTTCTGTAGAGCTGTTTGTTCGCGTTCGGCTACGGTAGGAATATGACGTCACAACATGGCGACCTTCATAAAAAGGGGATTCCCGCGGTTATGGATCTATTAATGTCTCATTCTAAGGTAATAAAAACATTACGGTTAATTAAGTAAGTTCTTTATACACCACTGAAAACATAGTTATGGATGTCATATTGCATTTCTGTTAATAGATACTCATCTTTTTTACACCTTTTACCTTTAATGCTTTTATTTCAGTTTTAAATCCTGATGTTTCTGCAGAATGCCCTTTTTGTTCTAGTAGAGAGACTGTTTTTCATGCTTATATGGATTGTGTTAGACTACAAAGGTTGTTTAGTTTATTACATAATTTATTTTATAGTTTTAATGAATCTTTTTCTATAGACGTATTTATTATTGGTTTTAGGTATGTTAGAAGAAATAGGTTTATTTGTCAGTGTTTAAATTTTCTTATAGGTCAAGCGAAGTTGGCAATCTATATGAGCAGAAAAAACAAGATAGAAGGGGGTACTGATCAAGATATTAATATTCTGTTTTTAGCCACTGTCAAATCCAGAATACTTATTGATTTTCGTTTTTATACTTCTATGAATGATGTTATTACATTTGAAGAGAAATGGTGCAAGAATGAGGCTTTGTGCTCTGTTATTGATGGACAAATATTTTTTTCTCATCTACTAATGTAGAAAAAGCTTTGTGTGTGGTATAAAGGGTAAATGGAAAATTAGTAAATGGTGAAACTTGTTTTGTGAAAAATTGTAAATAAAGTATTTTTTCAAAAAATTCAAAATCTCTCTCTCTCTCTCTCTCTCTCTCTCTCTCTCTCTCTCTCTCTCTCTCTCTCTCTCTCTCTCTCTCTCTCTCTCTCTCTCTCTCTCTCTCTCTCTCTCTCTCTCTCTCTCTCTCTCTCNTTTCTTTCGTCCCGGTTGGAAATAATGAGCTGTGTTTATTGCAGCACTGAGAGGACTACAGACACTCATTAAAATTACATTTTAATTATATATTGGTATACATAGACAGTGTAGACAAATTTGGGGATAAGTTTTTTAGAAAAATTTTACCTACCCTGGCTTTAAAGGAGTAGCTCACTTTTAAAAAAAACTTTTGCTGATAATTTACTCACCCCCATGTCATCCAAGATGTCCATATCATTCTTTCTTCAGTCGAAAAGAAATTTAAGGTTTTGGATAAAAACATTCCAGGATTTTTCTCCATATAATGGACTTCAATGGGAACCAAACGGTTCAAGGTCTAAATGAGAGTTTCAGTGCAGCTTCAAATGGCTTTAAACGATTCCAGACGATGAATAAGGGTCTTATCAAGCAAAATGATTGCTCATTTAAAAAAAAAAAAAAGTTTAAGTTTTATAAGCTCAAATGGTCGACTTGCTCTGTTAGGGTTAGGGTGTGATGCGCGGTCGTGACTCTCCTGTTCTAACTCGGGCATCAAAATGAACGAATCTTTTCCCGAGTCAACTTGTTCATTTCGTTCGTTGAATGAACCAAATGACACGAAAAAGATTTGTTAATTTTGATGAACGAGTTCGAACAGGAGAGTCACGAACATACATCACAGAACAGAGCAAGGCGAGCATTTGAGCTTATAAAACTTAAACTTTGTTTTAATTTTTTTTTAAATGAGTGATCGTTTCACTAGATAAGACCCTTATTCATCGTCTGGTGTCATTTAAAGCCCTTTGAAGCTGCACTGAAACTCTCATTTGGACATTGAACAGTTTGGTTCCCATTGTAGTCCATTATATGAAGAAAAATCCTGGAATGTTTTCATCAAAAGCCTTAATTTCTTTTCGACTGAAGAAAGTAAATTATCAGCAAAAGTTTTTTTTTAAAGTGAACTACTCCTTTAAGTCTCGGTCTGGGTTGCATTTGTACTCGGTCTTATCTCTGTCTCAGACTAAGCTGTTATTGATTTCATTTGATAAGCCTAGTTCACACTACGTGATTTTAAGCCCGATTTAAGCCCGATTTGCAAATCGTTGAGTCGCCGACAAGTCAGGGTGTTATCGCGTGCAAATCGCGGGCGATTAGCGGACGATTAACAGCTCGCCAATCCGTTAGTGTGAAAGAGCCAACAACGCATCAAAGACAGCTCGCAGACACCACGCAGACAGGTCACCGAGCTCAGAAAAATATCTAGCATGCTAGATATCTCGAGCAGTCGCGCGACTCAATCTCAGTGATGTCATGAGTACAGCCAATCATAGCAACGCATGGGTTGAGGACACCAGGTAAATCTTACTTTTTCTTTTTGCTTTTTTTTTCTCAGAGCAGATCGTCGAGCAAACAGTGTGCAGCACTAGTTTCTGTCTGACGTCCATATTCGCGTGTTGTTGTGTTCTCTGCAGTTTCGCGTCATTTCTGGTTCGTTTTATTGCGTGGTTTTTCGTTACAAAACATGGTTTCTAGACCAGATAGAATCGTGTTGTTGTCAACTCGTTATTTGTTTGATTATTTTCAGGATTTAGACCGTACTATAGTACTGAAACAGCTCTCATTGAGTCACAAATGATATGCTCTTATCATCCGATCGTGGTTGTATCTCTATGTAGTGCGTTGTTAACTCGTGTAGTGAGTTACCTCCTGTTGTGGATCAATCACGTTGTGTTCTGTGGTGTGAACAGCTAAACAACTTGAACACTCATGATTTCACTGAGAGCAAGTCATGTAATGTGAACTGCACAGTTCAGCCCGACATTTTAAAATCATGTAGTGTGAACTAGGCAATAGTGTCCTATTAATCTAATTGTATTTATGCATTAAATATAAGACATTTCTTAGATATTGTAGATCTTTTAGATGAATTTGAAGAGTGCTGGTCTGGTCTTGGTATTGTCTCTCCCTGCCTTGGTCTTGTCTGGTCTCAACACTCTCAACCCATCAAAGTTTTGGTCTTGTCTTGGGGCTGTGTCTGAAATCACCCCCTATACCCTTAAACGAGGCGCTATTTGAGGGGACGTTCATTTGTAGTGGCATCCAAAACCATAGTGGACGTTATCGAGAGTACTTAACGGATAGAGAATACCCATAATGCACTGTGAGAGTCGCATCGCATGCCAGATTAATACCTGAATCTGGCCAGACAATGGTTCTCGCAGCGTAGCCATCATTTTCCAAACCGCTGGGCCAATGTGGTTACAACCTCAAACAAGTACAAATTATTTTTAAAGTAATAATTAAATTGTTTAATTAATGTTTATACATAGTTTCTGTGACTTAGTTCAAGAGTAATACTTTCATTACTACTGGAGCTGCCAGTTTGCCAAGTTTCAAATAATTATTAAACAGCAAGCACAAACTATGCGGCGCACTCAGTGTCTGAATTTGCTCACTCGTTTTCATTCACTCCCTCAAGTGAACCATATTAGCGGATTAATGTAGAGAATAGTAAATGAGGGTTAGGAAGCAATTTCACAGCCTTAGTCTTAACACAAAATGGACTTGGTCTTGTGATGGTCTCCTATGATATCATATCAAAATTATATTTTAGCACTTTTAATTCACATTAAGGCTACATTCACACGGTCAGTTTTTGGGATTGACAACCAAATTTACTTACAGTTGTGAGTTTCGAAATGTCCCATTCAAACAGTTACTGTTACCATCTCGATTATATGGTCTGAATGAACGTGCAATGGGAGTCAAGCCCGTATTCTCTTACTAGTCACAACAGTGACAGTGACCAAAGTAATATCAAAGATGGTGACATCCATCAAACTGAAAAAAACCTGATTGACAACAACAGTCCAATCGATCTGCGAGTTCAGTCAAATCTTCATTAACCGACAACAGCTTTTATATCTGTGTGGAAATCTGAGATTTTGAGTCGCGCGTAGAACACAAAACTGCTTCAGAGCACAGTGAATGGTTATCAAACCTTAATATGACAGTGACACACCGTCGCGGTAAGTTACAAAATCCACACACGAAAACCAGCAACACATAGAAGACACGCAATTGTGCAACTCTGCTCTCTCAGCTCCCTCGCACTGTTTGACATAATGACAGGAAATTAGTTGTCCAGTTCCAAGAATGCAGTTGTGAGTCCTGAAAATGTTCGGTTATATAATGTGGTCACTCCAGTAAATAACTGAACTGTGTGTGAACAAAACCATATTAAGAACTGACAAAGTTTCATAAAAAACTATTTTGCGTTTTGTGATGTGTTGTGACCCAAATATAAAAGCACGAGATTTAGGTAGCAACACTGCTGCTGATAAAATTTGCAAACTTGGATTTTCAAGATTTCAGATTCGTTCATCATCGCACAAATATGTTCATTGAAGTCTGTGTTTAAAATTGTATATGCCTCAATGTTTTAGTTGCTACATTATTACTGTAATCACATTATTGTTATTTAACAGCCTTATTTTTTTTTTACTGCATTTTACTTCTTGCATGATTTTTTGCAAAGGCTGCTTGGTCGAAATGAGTTCCTCTGAATAAAATACTTATACATAATTTTAAAAAAACCAACACTTATTTCAAAGCTAATACACCGATTAATATAAGAGATATGAAGAAAATAGTCAAAATGCTGATAAATATTTACATATTGGACAGTTCCATTTAGATTCCACATCATCATATTATAAAGACTAAAATTGCTCACCTCTTTGGTTTGGGGAGTCCCATTGGAGTAAGGTTGTTATCTGGTTTGGGAACCGTCTTACGAATACGAATTTGGGAGACCCTTTTGGAACGTTGACCCGCTTGAGCTTCAGCGTTAGTATCGTAGAGTCCCACCTACAAGAGAAGAATGTCGAGCCTTGAGGAAAAACAAAACCTAACTCTTTCACTTCAGCAATCTCTGTATCCAAAAACTACACCCACTTTATTAGCTACACCTGTTTAACAGCTCGTTAACGCAAATATCTAAATCAGCCAATCATACGGAAGCAACTCAAAAGCATTTAGACATGGTTAAGACGATCTTCTTAAGTTTAAACTTGTGCATCAGAATTGAGAGGAAAGGATGGATTTAAATGACTTTGTACGAGGCATGTTGTTGGTGCCATTATTTGATTATTTCAGAAACTGCAGATCTAGTTTCGCATCACGAATGTGCAGATAACAAATCTGCGATATGCCATCATGTCAATCGACACTTTTCACATTTCCGGGTTTCTCAGAAGCGGAAGTCTTTTATGGGTAAACTTTTATAGTGGTGAATGAGAGACTACATTAAATATATTTTTAGTGTTCCCATTTGGTCAAATAGCAAAAGAAATACTCCACAATGGTGTTTCCACAAATTTCAAAAGAGGGGGAAAAAATAGAGAGATTAATAACTGCAGTCAGAGGAGAGAAATATGTCAATTTGACCATCATTACCAATTTAAGGGAAAGCTAATAAAATACAAAGTATGGTGGTAAAAATGTACATAATATAAAAAAAAAATTTATTTACGATGCTGATGACCGTTAAACGCGTCATTAGTCTGTGAAAAAACCTCTGAGGAATGTTTCCAGCACTTTGTTGAATCAGTCACGAAGAATTTAGGTAGTTCTGAAGGTAAAAAGGGTACTAGCAAGGTGTACCTAATAAAGTGGCCGGTGAGTTTATTTGCCAACTTGCATTTTACTTATTCAAAATAATTTGTTCAAATTATAGAAGAGATAATATAATACCTGTTTGATTTCTCTAGATGCTCCCCGACTATGCAAACCAGGGTATTTGACATTTGCACTGACAATAGCAAAACTAGGCACAGATTCAGTGGCGGATCCATCCAATCGCACAATCGACTTGGGGCTGATGTTGTGCCATGAGGGGTGATCCAGACTTCTTTCTGGTGTGAGACGAATTTTTGACAGATGACACACTGATGAAGATGAGATGGCCTTCCTACACACAGTGAAAGAAACAAGCATTTCAGAGAATTCCAGATGATTGCTAATATAACATCAGTCAACATCTACATAAAATGATCAGTTTAGCTGTGGTTTGTAAAATTGGTCTGGCTTCATGCTTCAAATATAATAATAGAATGAACAATAGTTAAGGTGACGTGAGAGTAATTTCTGCACTACTAGCAGCACCGAACTAAATAGAAAAATGTGACTAGATTTTCACATTTTCCAAAGAAAATGTGAGTGCTGTGCTATGCATCTGCTGTGTCCTAACCAGATGTGACAAAACATCGCAACATGATAAAAGCCATCTTTTCCGTGGATATCAGAGTTTGTGTCCTAACCAGCCGTGACAGCGACAAGAGGAGACACCGGATTCCATTTTTGGGAATAATTTCTATTTCTGCGACTGACATCTCAGGTATCGACTGTGTTCTTGGTATCAAGAAATGTTTAATTAGAGTTTAAATTAGGGCTGTGCAAAAAATTAATTGTGATAAATCGCATCCAAAATAAAAGTCTGTGTTTACATAATATATTTGTGTGTGCTGTATATAATTATTTTGTATATATAAATACACACACATGCATGTATATATTTAAGAAAATGTGTTATTCGTATATTAAATATTTATATTTATATAATATAAATTATGTATTTATCTACATATACAGAATTTAAGGGCAAATAATTCTTAAATATATACATGCATGCATATGTATTTATATATACAAAATAATTATATACAGCACACACAAATATATTATGTAAACACAGACTTTTATTTTGGATGCGTTGGATGCTAGTTTAAACATAATTTTGTTCGACTTTAACAGCCATAAAAGATTATTAATTATTTACCTCAGATCTCAAAAATACCGTAAACAAGAACTTTCAAACTGAACTCTGCATTTCATGTAGGGATTCACAATATATCGGCAACCATATCGTTATCGGCCCGATATATTAAAGCCAATAAATAATGGATTATTTCCTTCAGCTGAGACACTTCAGATGTGCGCTGTTCCCAATTAAATTGCTTGAAATATAATTGAAATCACTATTAAAAGGAAAATACAGTTAAGTGCAACATGTGCAGCGCAAGTTTGTCACATAGGCTACATAAAATTATGAGAGCATTATAATTGGGTGCTCGGGACATGCGTTTTAATGGTGAGACTTTTATTTTTGCAGCCAGACTCTCAGATTATATCAAATTTAGATTTAACGGCCAATTTATCGGTTATCGGCTTTAAAATGTAAATAATAATCGGTTTCGGCCAAATTTTTCATACGGTATATCCTTAATTTCATCATGACAAAGATAGTATCAGTAACGGAGTATGCATTTAGAATACTGAAATTATTTTATTATTAATTTTATTATCTAGTTCTGTTCTCTTTTATTGGGAGAGTGAGACAGCAGTGTGCTTGCAGAGAGAGAGAGAGAGAAAGCAACCAAATGCTCTTCTGATTGACTGTAATTTGTAATTAATTTAGTCACATCTTGTTGATAAGTCTTGTCTGTTGTGGACATACAAATTGTTTGTTGCTCAAGTCTTTTGGCATTGCATCTGGTTAGGACAGGGTGTTCTGGCTGTATGCCAGGGTGTTGCTATGCAGTTGCTAGGATGTTGTGGGTGGTTGCTTACAACCCCAAAAGATCCCAGCCTCAAGTTTTTATTTCTTTGTCTGAACATTTGGCCTGGTCTGAACTCCAATGTTTTTTTCCCCCTTACCATTTCAAGGGTTGCTGGGTGAAAATTGTGCATTCAATCATATAGAAAAAAGTAGCAGGATAGATCAAACACACCTAGCTGCACAACCTTGTCATTCATGTCTGTAGTAAAAATGCACCAAAGTTTGTAGAAGTAGATTTGGTGCAACTTTACCCACTCACAAGGTGCAAGGAATGAATCAACAGAGCAACAATGAAGAGGGAATCAGTGTCATCCCTGTTCACAGGTGCACATAAAAGGAGTTTGAATGAAACAAGACAAACATAATAAAGATGCCAGGCCACTCTAGACTTCTACAGGTTTGGAAAGCTTTTCTGCTATTCGTGTTGCTAGTTGTGCTGAAATTATGCACTTCACCTTTAACCTGAATCGTAACTGGCAAGCAAAGACTGATTAAAAGATTTCAAGGATTAGGTCAGCTAAATGGCAAGAGATGCAGGGGGATATGCCCACCGTGCTGAAGCTCTTTGGCTTGGTGCTTCTTGACTGGATCGTCGTGTATAGCTATCAACAAAAAAAATGTAATCAAAAAACGGGTAAAATTGTAAGTGCAAGCAGCATGCAAGTCAAAACTGACAATCATTTCTGATTATGTCTGATTATCTTTGCCATCAAAACATGCAAAAAAGCTTCAAACTTCAATAGTTTGAACTTACTGGTGATCGTTGTCTACGCCTGGTGGGGCTGTGAAGTCAACCAGAGCTCGAAAAGGATGAAACTTGCACTGCCCCAAAATCCGACTCACAACCACATGGATACTAGGACGTGACAACTGCATGAGAGGAAAGTTGAGCCTTCTGTGTCGAAACCACAGTCTGAAGGATGTTGGAGACGATAAAGCCAGGAAGGTACTAACACCCGCCCCAGAGAAACTCCCCTTGCTTAAAGTAGACAAAGGCGGAGCAGCAGGCCGAAGAAGTTGAGATAAGTCGGGACAACCTGCAAAGTCTTTATCCAGGTTGATCGGTAAAGCAATTGAAGGACAATCTGATGTACCAGTCAACCAAGGAGAGTCAGCAGACGTAGAATCCTCAAGTATCGGCTGCCAGTTGTTGGATATCTCTCCTCCCTGCTCGAGAGAGGACAAAGAATGGGTTTCTCCAACTTTAAGAGAGGGAAATCCAGGAAGGTCATGTTTCTTTCCACCACTGAGTTTGAGCTTGGATCCAGTTCTGCTGTAACCAGCCCATCTGTCCAAGTCGTTTGAGGAACAGCTACTGGATGCCAAGCGGTGGGCAGTGTTCGAGAGCTGATCTAACAGTTTGTTAGTGTCACTGTCTACTAATGGTTTTGAGGACCCATTTCTTGGGCCCGGGAGATGGGAACTGGAGTGTGCTTGATGAAATGTCAAAAGCGAACCTAGTGACTTTTGGTCACGTACATCTTTTACCAATTGGTTTGGTAAAGCAAGTTTACAGTCTGGCAGGATTGATGACCCTTGAAAAGATATATTTAAAGGGCTATCCTTTGAGTATGATAACTGACAATCAATGCTTTGTTCTTTCCTACTTATATGTGTGCTCTCTACAGAATCTCGAGCATTTGTCCCTGTCAGTCCATCTACATCCCTTGACATTGGGATGTGATTCAAGACTGAAGTACTATTACTCAATGAGGTAGTGGTTGAGCGAAAAACACCATTCATTTCAATCTTGTGCAAGATTTCATTCTCTTTCTTGTTAGAAGTCTGAAAGAGAACTGAACAGCCCTTGGGTTTATCAGGGTTGGGTAGTGCTCCAAGTGGCTTATTGGACAAAGGGAAGGTAATCTGATGCTGCTGCTGACTATTTTCACTCTCATCATTACTGGATTTTGTCAATGCCGCTGGTTTCCCAGGGGGCTTTGGATCTATTTCTTTTGCGAACGAAAAAAGAAGATCTGTATTTGAATATGACTTTGCGCCACTAGGAGCTGAAGATTTGAAAAACTGAACGGAAGGCACCCGGGGGTGTTCAGGAACATGTAAACACTGATTTTTCAAGAGGTCTTCTTCCTTCTGATCAGATTTATTATTCCCCACACTATTAGAGGACAGGTCTTCCCGTTTACAAGAAAGTCTTCGGCTGTCATTGTCATCTGAGCAGCTGAGCACAGAATCGACCAATAAGCTTAAGGCGACTCTGTCCTTCTCAGCTTCCAGCTCCATTTCCAGGTCTTCAAAATCTGAAACGGGTGAGTAGTTACCCTGCAAACAATTGTCGGTTTTTGCAGAAGAGCACGTTTTTAGGTTTCCACGTGATGAACTGGAGCCACTGCGATTCCCACCTAGACCCTGACAGCTTAGGTCCTCGGGCTTATGAGCGAGAGTTGACATTGCCCATGAACACACAGGGTCCTTTTTTGATTCAGGTGATCTATAAAGAGACTGTGGCCCAGAAGAGGAGACATTTGGCATGATTCCTTTGTTGTCTTTTGGCACTTCTGCGTCTACTGCAAAAACACAATAATTCAAGTTAAATCAATATGTTAATAATGATGCACTCAGTGGCAGACCCAATTTTTGCCCAATAAAATGGGCAAAAATCCAGCACGAGAACCATGGCACACCTGACCATGACAAGAAATAGCATATCATGGCCCGAGAATGTAACAAACTAAATGCTATTGGCCATTTAAAAAAGTGCAAAACCTTTAATAGGTCTCATCCCAATTTCTTGTTACAACAGAATACACTCACCTAAAGGATTATTAGGAACACCTGTTCAATTTCTTATTAATGCAATTATCTAATCAACCAATCACATGGCAGTTGCTTCAATGCATTTAGAGGTGTGGTCCTGGTCAAGACAATCTCCTGAACACCAAACTCAATGGCACAATGGGAAAGAAAGTGATTTAAGCAATTTTGAGCGTGGCATGTTTGTTGGTGCCAGACGGGCCAGTCTGAGTATTTCACAATCTGCTCAGTTACTCAGATTTTCACGCACAACCATTTCTAGGGTTTACAAAGGATGGTGTAAAAAGGGAAAAACATCCAGTATGCGGCAGTACAGAGGGTGGTAATGCCTTGTTGATGCTAGAGGTCAGAGGAGAATGGGCCAACTGGTTCAAGCTGATAGAAGACCAACTTTGACTAAAATCACCACTCGTTACAACCGAGGTATTCAGCAAAGCATTTGTGAAGCCACAACACACACAACCTTGAGGTGGATGGGCTACAACAGCAGAAGACGCCACCGGGTACCACTCATCTCCACTACAAATAGGAAAAAGAGGCTACAATTGGCAAGAGCTCACCAAAATTGGACAGTTGAAGACTGTATTAAAAAAATGTTGCCTGATCTAATGAGTCTCGATTTCTGTTGAGACATTCAGATGGTAGAGTCAGAATTTGGCGTAAACAGAATGAGAACATGGATCCATCATGCCTT